GACTAGCATCGAGTTGACGCGGTTTAAAGGGCCGAGTTCAAGTTGTCCGTAGACCCAGTCAACCGAGCATCTACGATATAAAAAAGTGACTGACAAATTTTTTAGATGTTAATTTTGCTGATATTTGTGGTGGCATTTTTCTTACTTCTATGGAAATGGCTCGATATTCGGTCTATAAATGAGATCAAAAATATTACTCGTCTTCTGTCTGCCGGTAACAACCAGCACACCCTATCAAACGTTTTTCAGGTACCGTGTTTTTTCTAGAAAAAATTATCTGGATGTACAAAAGTTGCATATTAATATTATATCAATAGCATGATGTAAAATACGTGTGTACAACAAATCCTTGCTTAAAATGTGTTGATTCAAGGTGGATGAGAATTCGAAAAATCATGGTGGCGAGCTCGTAGCTTCCGTTCTAAAGGTGGGTTTCTTTTGTTTTTGCCTTGTTTCTTTAGTAAACTTATCAAGCAGAGCGTTGTCGCCCATATAGTTATCGCGCTGAGTATTATGACCTGTCCACTTCTCAAATGGTTATCGGTATTCCAACCAGTTGGGCTCGACAGGACGCTAGCTCGAATATGCCAATTGATGGTTGCTGATATCACACTTCACACTGAATCTTCTCTCCGTAATCGTCCAGCAAAAGTGGGCAGTTCGGGCAGTTGAGATTTAATTGCGCAGGGAGGCGATCGCTTTATCAATGCCTGCAGCTCGCAAGCCATAGTTCGAAGTTTGTCCATCGCGTGCGGTTGGCCATAAATTTTGAGGTCACCCTTCCCCCACGAAATACGGGACCCGAGATGCATTGGTGCTCCGTGAGTACTGTAAAGTGAGGTCTGCTTCAGACTTTGCGAATCCGCGATTCGCTAGCGATTGTCAAGGGAATTGGGCGGCTCGTAGAACGCCTTTTTCACTATTCTTAACCGCTATTCTTCATTTCTCAATCACTCTTCTTCTTCGCTGAATTCCGACTTCCGTTTTACATAGACGCCTCACTAGAAGTACAGCTTCTCACAAAAAGTTCATTGAGCGGAGGGGCCCACATCAAATACAACCTTTCTCGAGCGAATCATACTACTTTGCCCCCCCCCCTTCTCTACCCCTCCGGCTAACCCTTAGTGCTGGTTCATCCTAGTCTTGATGGACCATAGAGTGTGCTTGAGTCATCTGTTATTAGATCCATCTTGCTCTGCTGTTTGCTGCTTCAAAAGTTAGCCGACGCTGACTAACTGTGAGTCTGACCTCCTTACCATCTCACCAATGCCATGTCATAGCACGTTGTTGGTTGACAAAATGCGGTTGGAGTATCCCCGGCTATTCGAAAGCAGCCTTCTGGTAGAATCATCGTGCACAGCGGACGCAACCGTGCCACGGCTCTAAGTAACAGATGGAACAGTATACCAAGTAATACTGAACCAAGGCACCCGCGATCTGCATTCCCAGCGAGCACGGCACGGTCCCTCACCATCATCGAACTGAGTGAAGAGAGCCCACTGAAGGAGGCGCTTCTACGGTACCTTTGGTTAGTAGGAGGACCGGAGTCCGAGCATACTCCCTTGTCGACAATGAGCACGGCAGGGCTCGAGTGGCTGAAGAGGTGTATGAAGAAGGCAAGACCTTGAGGAAGTGGTCCTTTAAAGGAAGCGGTCACGCTGGCTTCCACGCTGGATTTGCTACCCTCGCGTTATCAATCGATAAGGTGTGAGGCAGTAATTGTTGGACGAGTGTAAGCCCATGGAAGATATGATACGATGAGATAAGAAGGTGCGGCTGCTTGATAAGAGGTGCACTCCAGAATGAAAACGGGACGATAACGATAACGGTATCATATCTAGCACGCTCTTATCGCACCCCTTTCCACATCGATAAGTCTTGGTTTTTGCTGAACGGAAGTGGATTTCGGCGCCTTATCACTCCGTTGATAAGGCGCCACTGCCACTGAAACTTCACGTGTTCTAACACTTGGGCAGGACCTCTATCCACTCCAATACATAGCTTCCCTTATCGTTTTCACGAAGAATTATCGTGACCGCTTCCTTTAACCGCAGTAAGGCCACCCTGGTCGAATGTGGAACAAATTCGCTCCATGTGTGGCTCACACTGATTTTGACTACACTGTGATTATTGTGTATTTATGAAGAGCGGTTAATCTTCTCCTTTCAGTCTCATGATGTTCAAGAAATTTTCGTTTTGTGTGGTGGTCACATATCGCCCATTCTTGTCGCAGCTGAGAAGCTCGGTATCAAAATCATTGATACGCGCCATGAGGTACATTTGGAAAGGTATAACTACCTCACAGCATATTCTGCTGCGAGGGCGATTTAACGTGATTTGTTTATTTTGCAATAAATTGGTTCAAATTAGTTAGGCATAGAGCTTGGTGATGTTCCGGTCACCAGGATACGTAGTCAGTACTTTGGTCTGAATTTTGTGCGAGCTTACACGTTGATGACATCGCGCAATTTGGCTTTTTTGGCCGGAGGGTTCGACCAAAATGACGTGTTATGACCATGAAAAGGCAAATTTCCTTTTTCGCTTTAGTGGTTTCAAAATTATTTTGGACGTGGTTTGTTTCAGTAAAAACATATCTTGCCATACGAATAGGTTTGTATTCACTTCTATTATTCTTTTTTATCTACATGTTCGTTAATAAAAGAAAACGAGGAATGAACTGAACAGACATATTTGTAAGGTCTGGAAAATCCTCTGCCAAACTAAAGAATATTTGGCCATTCTGTGAGCCACGTGGTTCTCGTTTATGTAGACTATGAATGGACACAAAAACTTGGAAGAAACGGCATGTGCGCAAAAATAAATGTAATGGGTGTGGCATACATAGTTGCCACAATGTCCGATGAGGTGCAAAAGTGGCGGCATACATAGTTGCCGCGCTGTCGTCAAGGTGTTAACTCCAAGGTGTCGCATCCCAGTTTAAACTATTTTGATTTGTATAATGCCAAACTTTTTCTTTGTAATCGTCCTTTTTTGAATATTGGGCCACAATATAGTCTTTTCACTGTTTAGGTCACGACTGTTTTTGCGGCTGATGCCGTGGCCCGTTTGCGTCAATCTATTGGCGTCGCTGCTGTGACAGCCGGTCCTGGTTTGACGAACACCATCACTGCTGTGAAGAATGCACAGATGGCGGAAAGCCCCTTGTTGCTCATTGGTGGCGCAGCTCCCACATTGCTTAAAGGTCGTGGTGCTTTGCAGGTAAGAAACCAGCTTGAGGTCAACTTTTATCAGCAAGGACGGTCTATTTAGGACATTGACCAGCTCGTTCTTTTCCATCCTCTCTTGTAAGTTTGCTGCTCGTGTAGAACGTCTGCGTGATATTGTACCAACTCTCCGAGAAGCCATAAAGGTATTTTCGTTACTAGTTGGCTTTACCATTTGTTACTGTTATCACTCATCCCTGCAGAAAATCGTTTAGGCGGCTACTTCAGGATGCCCAGGGCCTGTTTTCGTTGAATTTCCTGTAGATGTTCTCTATCCTTACCAACTTGTCGTCAAGGAAATCGGCTTCAACCCTAAACCGAGTGGATTCATACAGGTTTCTTGTGTACTGGTATATGTTCTCTACCACAAGCAAATCAATTAATCATAATAATCAATTAATCATAATCTATTTGAATTTAGCATAACAGCTTACCTTGGCCTAGACAGCTCTTCGTAAAGTCGTTTAACTAAAAATGCTCAGTCTTATGTTGTCGTAGTTGCACTCAGTGTCTTGGTAACTTGCGATTCAGCTGTGTATTGACGAGAGACTTTCGAAGTATTTTATAATCATGGACAGCTACATATTTATATAATGTAATAAAATACTTGCAGAAAGCCCTGAATTTTTATCTGAGATGTCACGTGTCCCGACAATTCAGTGCTGCATGGCAGCCGCAGGACATTACTCCTCTACCGACACAAATTCCGATGCCTACACTCGAGGAGGTACACTTCTTATTCCTTGTATCCTAGTGGTATTCATATTGTATTAGCTTGGGAAAGAAGTCCTGCAACACTTTCCCAATTTTTGATTTTAATTTTATCTTTTTTGTTTACAACTCCTGACCGGTCTATATCTACCATGAGTGTCCACCACTTGTCTTCAACGCTCAGAAAATTTCTTGATGCTCCTTTTCCAAAACCCAGCGGAGTGCGGGTCAAGAAAGGAGGCGACCTCACTTTCGAGTTGGAGTTGATCGTCTCATTATTTCGTCATCAAGATGATGATTGAAGGTCCGGACTAGGTGTTCAACATTCGAAGCATGACCAGGGGAATACGCCTGCTAAGGTGAGGGCTACAGAATCTTTTAACGGTTTCATTGTGGAACATGGTGATTTGCAATGAAGGAAGCAAACAATGTCGCGGTACAGCGCTCTGGCGAACTGCCGCAGCCAATATTCGGAAATCTGCAGCTGGACGTCTTCCTCCACAGTGATGCCCATATCGGAGGATTTGCATTCAGGATTCTTACATGTGATGGGGAGTGCGAGGCGCAGATTGCATATAAAAATATCGGAAGATCAAAAGCGCTAGCAAAGGTGAAACAAGCTGTAGTCGTGAACGAAATTTCCTTTGAAGTTATTGCAGACAGTATTGGTCATTGACACAAATTTTACAGGCTTTTCTTGGATAACTTTCTGGTTGCAGCGCCTACATCCACTGAGTGATGAAAAAATTGAAAACCCTTTACTATTCCTTGGTCATCAACGATATCTACAACTTTCAGAAGAAAAGAAAACTTGAAAATCAGTGTTGCAAGATTCTTCCCAACCTCATACACTGTGGTTACTTATGTGTTAGCATCTGTTTAAGGGTCAAAAGGCTCAGAGAACTTCAATGTTTGGAATCCTGGAGCAAATCCCATTTTTCAGGTTGACAAGATTGTGCAACTTATCAGTTCAGCGAAAAAACCAGTCATGTTGATAGGCAGTCAAGCGATGCTTCCTCCCGTCGTTCCTAAGGATTTGGTGAAGGCAGTTGAGGTAGTATGTTGTAGAGGCTGGAAATCTCTTTCAGCAGCTTCTTTTGTTCTGCCAATGGTTAGCTGTTTGTAGCTGCTGGGGATACCAGTGTATCTTGGTGGGATGGCCCGCGGTTTACTGGGAAAGGAAAATCATCTTCAAATGCGACAAAATCGAAAAGATGCACTACGCGATGCCGATCTCACTATCCTAGCTGGTCAGCTTATTTTGCCTTTTCAAAATTACACCCTTGCCTTTTTGACATATCGAATTGGTATTCTTCAGTGCTGTTTACCCCTTACATATTATTTTTCCGTTCTGATCAATGCTTTTATCAATTACAGGAACTGTGTGCGACTTCCGCCTATCATATGGACGTGTGTTGTCGAAAAAGTCAAAGATTGTGTGCATCAACAGGAATCGCAGCCAGTTGACCAAGGTTCATTTTATTGACACTGTTATTTTTGGCAAACACTACTTCATGTTAAGGCAGCAACAGGTGTAACGGGTTGAAGTGCATTCAGGGCAGTCAATTCAGAATCCAGCTGCACCTAGAAGTGCCTTCATTGACTTACTTTATACTTCTATGGAAATCTGTGGTGTCCTTTAGTTGCGTCAGTGTGGAACACAAGCACAGGAGCTTGTGTTCAAGTACAATCCTGATGCGCCAGCGGAAAGGTGTACTGCTTCATGGCCAAGTACACTGCGACGCATGATTATAGTTCCACCTACAAATTTCCCAAAAACTTGCATCTGAAGATGTTTTCGAGAAAGGTTTAGTGAAGAATTGTGGAACATATAAACGCTGACACAGTTCGAGGAAACAACAATTTTTTATTTTCATTTTTTCTGGAAGTACTCGCTCTGCCAATGGCGCAAAATTATAATTCCACCACCTCAGTAGGTTTCGGTGGAAACTTTGTGTAGTGCATGAGTTGGGAATGCGTCTGCTATTGTGTAAGGAGAGTGTGGCACGTAATTGGACGCAGCCGATGCACTACGAGTCGTTAGTAGTATATGAATGAACCTCGCAGCTCTTGGAATGAGCTTTGATTAGAAAATTGCATAAACAACCGACCCGCGAGAGGCCACGACGGGGAAGCAGATCACCTGCAGAAGTTTCATTCTGTGGTTGCAGACGCTAATTGGTCACACCAGTATAGAGTCATGGGTCCATTATGACAACAACGGCAGCACGCGTGATGGCGAGGTAGCTATCAGGTGCCGCTGTTGTGATAACGGATCCATGATTCATCGGTACTGCTGACCAACGACGGGAAGTCTTATTCATGCTACCAACTCAACGAAAGCCCAAGCTCCGTTATCAGAAGATTTCACTATCGCTTTGTTGGTCACTAGGTATCCTGCCTTGAGAACCTGTTTGCTATGTGCAGACAAGTTGCGAAAGCTTGCGTGGATCCGCTTCCAAGATTGGTCGTAGCAGTGCGAAAATATCGTCCGAAACATCTCGGAGGCTCCTTTCTCGAACTGAGCGCTCCGACCTCACATTGCAAAAATAACTTGCCGCGTTTTGGGAGACATCGGCTGGATCACGATACCACATTCCATAGCCCTGACCTTACTCCATTGATCTATTCCCTCCCGGTGCCCTGAGGCAGTAGGTTCAGCAGAATGAAGTCAAGAAATAGAACCATTCCACAAACGAATTGTGCGAATTCTTCAATCTCCAGTTGCACTCATTCAGGGAATAGCGCATCCATTCGTTCCCTTGCGAGTGGGTGCATGTCAGTGATCATGCCAGTTGGCATAATTCTGTTTTTTAAGGAAAAATATAACTTGAAGAAAGTGAAGTGTCGATCGGTCAGAAATTTTGAGACAACTAATGCATATTTAGCAACTTTTATGCCCACCAACTTACGTTTGCTACCGGAATCGAACTAAATTGAGTTTATCACGAAATTGTACACACCCCTTAACAATGGAGCGGTTCGGTCGATTGAGGTGAAATAGGGAATGGCATAAGTTATATCGGTATCTTCAATGCGCACCCTGTACAGTAAGCGCGCGACACTAGAGGCCTGAGATATCGAGACTTGTCAGCCAGTCTGCCATTAATGTAAGCTACCGTGCAGCTACCCGTGGTCTTACCATTACCTCATATAATTTAATGCGAAATGTTCTGTTAGGCAATCAGTGGAGGATACGCTACAGTATAAAATATAGATACAATGATATGTGAATTTTTTGCAAGGATGCTGATTGATTGTGAATACTAACATTTGTGAACAGTTGAAATTGATACTGACTGTTACAGAATGAGAAGGCATTCTGGAACGCCGACGTCTCTGTGCAAGCTGACGTTGCTTCTACTCTTGTCCAAATTGCCAGTCACATCGAAAAGGTATGGCGCATTTTCTTGCTTTGTATACAAAGATCGTGGATAAATCTAGTAGCGTTATCGAGAACACTAATCCACATGTTCCTTTATAGACTGGCTATAAGGTACCATCTGATTGGATTGACGAATTGAGAAGGAGAGAAGATGAAAAGGAGGCCAAAAACGCATCGAAAGCCACGGAAGAGTTGGCACACGGATTCATCAATCCATTGAACTTCCTCGCCCGCCTAGACAAGGTAATTATCACTATAGAAATCAGAGTAGTTCAGCTAACAACTGGAGTTGTGAGCAGCTATTTACTGGAACAATGCTTTGGTGTTATCGCATTCTTCGGTGCCTGGAGGGACAAAGGCGTTCAGCCACTACCCGCTCAAACACAGTTTCTGAGTCTGTTCAGTGAATGATCAAGAGTGTGACACTTCGTGTTATCCTATACGGTTATCCTAATTTTGCGTGGAAGGGGGAGGGTGTCTGCCAAAGAGAAAGCGAATGGTTTACGCAGTGAGGATTTCCTTCTCCTACGTCTCATCCTATGTGGATTTATCCCATGTGTTGCAATTTCTGACAAAAATGCTCAAAAGAGGATTTCTCGATAGGGGCGAAGATCGAGGAAGGGGCAACTCACCTAGTGGAGACAGGCGGACCTCTTAAGAGTGCGGACCGACATGCGATTCTCATTGAGAGATATGCCCCGGCGATCTAGTATGGCCTTCCCGCGGCGTAATTGGCACGGTAAGCGCGGTAAGCACCCCTCTCGCGTTGTCTCATGTCCTGGGTCTCCTGCCCTATGGCAGCGAAAGCATTAGTGTTGAAGAGGGCAGCACCGGT